GCTACAACAGTCCAGAATATTCTGCACGTCCCCCCCCCTTGATGGTGCCTTGGGGACCAAAGGTAACATTTCACCTTTCTGCCTCTCCTGTCCTCCCGTCAGCGCAGCTCCAAAGGGCTCCTCTGTGCGAAATCCAACCCAGCGTTACGCACTGAATAGACATTAAAAAGGCATAAAAGGGTAAAAGCTGAACTGCAGCCCTGTCCTACCTGGGACAAAGCCACAGACTTGAGCTTTTCCTGGAGAAGCAACCAGGAGTAAAGCCTGAACCAAACCAGGGAGACAAGGTGGGGTAACCCCGGCGGAGGGGGTGGGCGGCAGCAGCGGCCTCAGCGGGTGGTGGGCGCTGGGCCGGGATCCCCCGCGGCGACGCACGGAGCCCGTTCCACGTAACAATCTCTTTATTGCTTTGGTTTTTGCATTTCGGAGCTTGCTTCCATCTTTAGTCAAGCTCTGTCCTGTTGCTTTACCGGCACAGAGCTTTCCCGAGCGCCCGGAGCTGCCGGGGACCCTGAAGGTGACGAGTCCCAGCGACGTGACAGTGGCCTCCAGGCGAGCGCTGAGCTGTGCCCCCCCGCCCCCAGCAGACCCCAAAGACCCGTCGCCCTCCCCCCTCACTGTGGCACCTGCTCCACAAACCCTGGTCCTGCCGCAGTGCCACCGGCTCACCCCCGACGTCACCGTCCGCGCGCGCGTGGCCCCACCAGGGGTGGGTGCTTCGTCCAGTTCTCCTCGGGGTGGGCGTTAAAACCTCTGAGGGGTCTGAGAACGGCGGCAGTCGGGGACCCCGCAGGGCTCTCGCACCACTCGTGGGCCGGGGGGGTTTCTTCTGAGGAACGTCTCGCCCTCGGTGGGCAGTGGGGCAGCGCCGTGCGCCCAGCGGCCAGGCTCAGCGAACGGTCAGAACAGCCGCGGTGCTTGAGAGGACGAGTTGTTCGTGCCAGTAATACTGGTGAGGAACTGATTGGAAATGCAGTTTAACTTTTTCTGATATGAACTGGGTTTAAACAGAGAAGGTTTTTAATGACCCCTAAGCTGGAATCTCTCCCTGGGAAGGGTTAAGGCCAGAAAAGCTTTTGTTTTGAGTTGGGGATCGTTGTCCAGCTGGGAACAGGAGGGAATCTCTGCTGTGGGGAGGTCGGAGGGGCGGGGGGCACCACCCGAGGACCGAGTGCTGGGAAGTTCTTTCTGGAAGATGACTCTCCCCGTACAGAACTTGCAACAGATGTGCCTCGACCCTTGGCCTTTTCTCCAGGACCACGAGCAGAGAAGTCTGGAGGAACCGGGGCAGTGTACCCCCCTCATCCTCTAACACTGCAAAAAAAACCCCAAAACTTCTGCCAATGGGGAGGGTGTCTCGGCCGGTGCCCCAGACCGGGCAGTCCCTCCCTTGCCCCCAGGATGATCTGGGGCCCAAAGGGCAGCATTTACCCAGGTGAGCTCTACCCGGGTGCTTCCCCGTCGCCCTCCCGGCGCTGTGCGGGTCTCTCAGGGAGGGGACGGTTCCCCGTCACCCTCCCGGCGCTGCAGCCTCTCCAGCAGCAGCAGCACGTTGTCGGTGAACTCGTTGCGCTGCATCCCCATCCCGCGGAGCTTCACGGGCCGCAGGCTGGCGTGGGGGGGCTCGTACTGGTGAGGGCAGCAGACCTCGGTCAGGAGGAGCCAGGTGCTGTCCGGGTCCATGTGCATCAAGTGGAGGAAAACGCTTTGGAAAACAGCGGGAAGAAAGGAAAGAGTAAGGAAAAGGCCTTTCCCCTGGCCCCCGGCAGGGTCACTGACGGCTCCGGAAAGCGCCGACGTCCGCAGCCTTGGCAGTGAACGGACCTGAGCTCATTGGAGAGCACCATTAAAATGGTTCCCGCGCCCAAGAGAGGAGTTCGGTGGTTTTACATCTACTGGAAGCGGGAGAAAAACAGTTGTTCTGCTACACGGGAAGGTGGTGACACCCAACAGGCAGCTGGTGAGTAACTGACCCGGGCTTTGGTCTGGCGTCACGGGCGGCTGCCGGCAACGCCTGCCTGCATGGGCCTGCCCGGCGCCGGCTGCGTCCTGCCCCCTGCACGGCTCCTAAGGGAGCTGGAGGTGTTGCTCACACCCCCTCCGTGTTTGAGGGAGCGAGGGGGCCAACCCAGCCCGACCGCTCCCCCTTTTCAGAGGTGGTAAACCCAGGCTGGGCCACAGGTGAAGGGGAATGTTGCACTGAGGTACCTTAGTACCTGCCTCCAAATCCTCTTCCCTCTGCGCAGCACCTAGTTTGGTTTTTTTTAAGACAAACCCCCCCAACCCAACAACCTTCATTAACAACAGACTGGAGGAAGGGAGGAATGACTGCTTCCTCCGGGCAGCAGTAAAGCATTCGATGGTTCCCACTCTGAATCTCAATACCCCGGGTAAAGCCAGAGATTTGGCTTTGGCAGGTTTGCGTGACCTACACTTACTGTCCCCACCGTAACCTTTGGGCTTAGCTGGGCCTGTGTCAGGGTGTGATGCACAGGTGTACTGGGTTTAGCTGGTACTAAGCTCTCTGGCTGTGCCACGTACAAAACTGAACCAGAATTTGCAGGCTGTCCTGACTGCACGGTGCCGAGTGTTTGTGCTCCCGCAGCACCACGGGTACCCAGCACCCCCCAGGCTTAGGGGGCAGCTTTGCAAGGCCTGGCCACGCTTCTCCAGATCTTGTTTTCCACGGAAATTGTGAGGCCATGGGTGAGGTAACGGGAGGAGAAACCAGAGGGTAGGTCTGTCCCCATCTCACCCCAGAAGCACAGGCCACAACTGCCCTCTCCAAAATCAGAGATCACCTGCAAAAAAGCCTCACAAAATCCAGACCTGATCGCTGGCCAAAGTTCTCCCTAAAGGACTTTTATCCCTGAAGTGAGCTTGCTTCCTATGGAAAGCGGCAAAAACCCCTTTTAGCAGCTCTCTGGAAGGGCGTGCAGTGCCACGGGCCACCCGAAACCCCACAGAAATGGGAGGGAGGCACTAGAAAGCTCCTTCACCTCTTCACCAAACTCTCGTGGCTGTCGCTCCTGCTCGCCCGTCCCTCGGCACAGGGTCTCAGCGGGGTGACGGAAGGTGCTGCCACGTCCCCTCCTCGGCTGAGGCCGCCCGGGGAGATTCACTTACTCCCACCGGAGCTCGCCCGGCCGGCGATGGGCTACTGCTGGGGCAGCTGCTCCCGGTGGCCACGGGGGAGTGGAGCTGGCCCCTGGCTCCCTCCGCGGACTCTCGGGGCGGTCCCGAGCGCTCCCGCAGCGGCCCGAGGCTGCGATTATCTCCTGATAACCTGGCGAGCTCTGCAGCTTAAGGAACTTGACTTTTACATTTTCAAACTAACGCTGGGGTAGTTTCTAAGCAACCTGTTTCCATGGCAAAGAATCCTGGGGTTAATCCAGGTTTGTTTTCTGTTGTTGCCTTTTTTTTTGACTTAAATATCATTTTATTGGATTTTGTCTTGTGCAGGTGGCTGCTTGTGTCCCTCAGCCCAGGCTGTGAATGACAGCTGTCAGTGAGTACCCAATAAAGGACACAATCAAACCAAAAGTGGTACGCTGCTGCATAATCATCTCTGCTATCTAAAAAGGCACAAAAATAGCTCATATTTGTTCCAGTTGTGCTAAACGACTTATTCTACCAGCACAGAGCAGAGTTTGGCTATTCTGCTGCCTTATCTCTTCCCAGGCTCTAAGCAAAGCCACGGCACAGCAAACAGGCTGGCAAAAGGGCAAGTCTTTGTGGCTTCTGCATCTCTGCTGAATGTCTAACTAGGTCCAGCTCACCACAGGCTTCAGTAACAGCTGGGGAAATTATTTCTGCATCGTGGAAAAAAAAAACCCAAAACATTCCTATCCAGACTGTTGACTGAAAGGTCGAATGGTAAACTTCACGGGCTGTAAACATTTATTAGGAATCAAGTGTAAATTTCAGAACAGTCACTTCAAACTGAAAAAAGGCAGAACCAGTTGTGAAGCCTTGGCAGGGGCCAGTGACAATTTCTTAATCTCTTTGCCTCCAAAGATTTTTTTTCCCCTGGAGTGAAAAGCTTCTCAGGTTTAACAAATTGAAGAGAAGCTCTGATTTATGTATGGGACTTCCCTCTCCCCATGCCTGGGCCCCCCCCCCAGCTGCTCCAG